CTGCCGCAGCTCGCAGGTCAGCGGCAGATTGGCCGGTGACATGTAGTCCAGGCCTTTCATCTGAAACGCCGTGTCGTAGCAGTCCTGACTTCCCAGATGAGACACAAACAGCTGGCCACCAGCCGGCGGTACCCAGGCGCTGAATGGTGCATCGCTGCTGGACACCCGCGACATGTGCACTGCTATCCAGTTTGGCATGTGATTCCGGACCTGCATCAGTGGCGACACACTGCCGTAGAGTGGCAACGCACCGCTGACGTGATTCACGACACGCATGTGAAAGTAGATCTGCAGCAGCGGCCACTTGAGACCAGTCGGAATGGCCATGGTCTGGAATTGATGACCGTCGGGCAACACCTGGAATGGCACGCCGCCCGACCAGCTCTTGGCACCGGTAAAGCGTAGCTTCACCACCAGAACGCAGCTCTGCGGCACAATCCAGGACAAGCTGCTGGTCTGAGCGGCCACATTCAGCTCCCTGGCCAGCTTGCTCTCCTTCTTATCCTGCTCAATCTCCTCAGCGAACTCAGGTGTCGGTTCCGACTTGCGCTGTCCAGCAACATCGTCGAGTTTCTGCTGCACTTCTCGACTGCGGAACCACCAGCCAACCTGAACGTCTTTGGGCAGGTAGTTACCAAAGTGTGCAGAGCCGCGGATTAGCACAACTCTCTGCACACTGGTCATAGCACCGACATCAACTGTGACACGAGCAGGATCATCCAAGTACTCTTGGCCTTCGGCACCGGCCAGCACCCAGCGTGCGAGGCGCTTGGACTTGTCAATGCCGAATGGTTCGCACCACTTAGTAGGGTTGCTGGGATGAGTGTTCTCCACGCCGGCAACGACACCAGGCCACGGCAGTGTGGCGAGCTGCATCAGGCGAGGAGCGTGCACATCCCGCCAGCTGTACGCCAGCGTGTGGCCAGGCTGCAGTGTGATGCATTCATCGGTCTCCGCTTGTCCCACTAGCAGGGCACTGTAGGTGTTATTCACGATCAGATAGTGATGAAGCAATACTGCACGGTACTCCTGCGATGACGTCCACTTCATGTCAGCGGAGGCAACGTAAGTTGATGAGTTAGACGTACTCTGCCCAATGCTGACTGGCTGGACCAGTGATGGCGCTGACTTTGAAATACGCCAGAGTGGCGCCGAGCGCTGCAGCGTGTGCAGAACAGAGCCACTGACATCCACTCGACAGCGACCGACACTCACATCCACAGCTTGCTTCTTAGACACTTGAAGAGACTCCAACGACAGGCACTGCTTCAGCTGCTGGCATGAGAAGTCCACCGCGTCCAGACGCACATTGCTCGAGGCTACCAGGCATGGCTCGGACCGGGGGTTGGTGGACACGTCACCGGCATGCACAGCACTCCACTTCTCCAGCGACAGGAGAGCAAACTGCTGCAGGGCCGGGAACGACGGGTGGAGAACGGTAGGCGGTCGGCCGGGCATGATGGCATCCAGGTCCTTGTAGGCGTTGAAGAGGTGAAGCTTGACGGAGGAGCCACACGCCGATGCCTGACGGATGTGTGCCACGGACGAGTGAACAAGAATGCAGGCGGCCAGCAGCTGTGGCTCTACCTGGCTACACGTGCATGTTGCCTCCACTCGCCAAGTGGTGCCCGCCGTGCACAGGTGTGACTCCACCAGGACCTGCTGCAAGCTGCTCACAAACAGGTCAAACGTGACGACGCACTCAAAGCGGGCCATGGCGGCGTTCCACACCTGCAGCTCGGCTGGAACACTGGCTATGTCGCTGTCATGCCACGGTACTGGCATCACATCCAGTGCTGTGACGTAACGCGGCAGAGGATACTTCCAGGTCATGGAGGCGCGTGGAGGGTTGACCAAGTGGTGCGTCCAGAACGACACTTGACGTGTCTTGGGCATGACGAATCCCTCGCCGCCGCTGGGTGCCAATTCAAAGCGCACCATCTGATCTTGCTCCGTGGGACTAGTGTACATGGCCGACATCAGAGGCCGCACATCGGCAATGGATGAAGAGGAGGTGGTGGCAGAGGAGCAGAGTGGCGATGATGACACTTCACCTTGGCTGCTACTCACTGCCAGCAACCTCTCAACGGTGGGCAGCAATGACTGGGCCAGGATCTGCAAGTCAGCTACACGTTTCTGACAACACAGAACGTGAACGTCGTTGCAGCTTGCCGTGGCATTCCAGCACATCGTCGACGCCGGTGATTGCCAGAAAAGCAGCTCGGACGAAGCGGCAAACGGCAAGAGCAGACGATGACGACAGGCACTGGCCGGGGACGTCAGCGAATCGCTCACCAGACACGCCGACATAGCCACACAGTTGACATTGCCAGACATGTAGGGAAAGGTGGTACTGTTGAGTCTAGCCAGCTGCAGTTCGGACGTGCCAACGACTAACTGCACGTGGCTCTCGTCAGCACCAAACACTTCCAGGACAATCTGTGCAGTAGCTACGCTGAGCGAGACTGGAAATCGTACGGGTGCGGTGGCGGCAGGTACAGGTGCGGCGACAGCACTGCCGCCCAGTGACCAGCTCTGCTGCAATTTACTAGGGGTGTCGACCGGTGTTGCGTAATCGGCAAACGAAGACTTCCCACAGTCCTGGGACATGTCTACGGCCGACGCGGACTGCTCTGCTTCTTCACACACCGTGTCGTCGTTCTTGCTTCTGGACACAATTTGCTGCAGTCGACGCAGTGTCAGAGCAAGTCTGTCCAGAATAGTCACCGTCACAGAAACACGAACAGGGCGGCCAAGAGAGACATCCAAACCATCTGCAGAACAAGACGGAAGACAGAAGATGGAGAAAGAGAAACAAAGTGAGCACGGCGCAGTGGATCACTACTATTACTAACGGGCTTCCATGCCACTACCAGAGAAAACAACACACCAGAGCAACGCTAGTGAGACAGACACCGCAGTTTTTTTCCCATCAAAAAGTTCAGTAAAGTGGTGGAGTCTCCTCATGGGCGTCAGACCCTGACAATCACAGGCACTTTACGCCCTATCGGGACATAATACTGGCTGGTAATGCACATGTACTTCCAAGTACTAGAGTACAACATAACTACACCTGCCAGGGCTGGGGTTCGTTGAGGGCAAAGCAGCACATAGCTGCAGTAAATGCATGCACGTGCACACGAGGAGACATTACAAAGTTTCGTCAAAACCCCTTAGAGCAGAGTGGGGCCTGTGTTACGCGGCTACCATACCAGTACGGCGTGCCGAAAATAGGTGGTCATATTCCACGGGGTCTTTCAATGTCGTTTCTAACTTACGTGTACATGTACAATACTGGTGAAGGGCAAGGCATACACAGTTTACCTGGTGCAAAGCTATCACCAGCAGTCGGTGTTTTGCCGTGGCAGTTCAGCTTGAAGAAAGACGGTGACACGCCGCTACGGCTAAGTGAACATCCCCGCCTTGTCTCCACAATCGTCACGATACCTGGCCATTACAAACGCAAAGCAGAGAGCAGGATAAAGAGCAGGATAATGATGAGCTAAAGGCCAGTGGTACACAGATAGAGGCATGGTGCACCTTCCTGCAATACCAGTATACTTGTATAATCTGGTTCCATGCTAGAGATGTGTACAACAAAGGCGACACTATCAGAAATAACATTCTACCACACGACTATACAAAATTGAACAAATTCGATCGATGGGGTTGCATACACTCACATGTTTGTACCTCATTCAAATCTTGATAACATTTCACAAGCAAAAAGTGCCAAGAAAGAAGCCAAAGAGCTCAGCCCTTCAATGACAGCATAACCGAAGAGCTACAAAGCAGCGTTATGTTGCCTGAGGATTAATCAGTGTGAAACTCGAAGTTGCGGCCGGCTATTCTGATTTCTGTGCAATGTAGCGTTGTAGAGATATCACACTGGAAATGTCAGTCACTGCAAGAGTTTCTTTTCTCTTGTTCTCCTCGGGTGAGGGATTTCTCCTCTCTCACGCTTCGTGCGTGTGGGCAGAATAACGCTAAACTTAGTGCAATACCAGTTACTTGACAATCAGCTCATGCGGTAACATTGCACAAAACTGATCGACAGAACTGTCGTTCTACAACTAATTGGCTATCAGCTCTAGCATGCCTTGGGGGTGCGCACTCTAACAGCCTTCCAACTTGGAAGGTGCCTATGTTATTGCATAAGTGAGAACCTACACTTATTATGTGCGTTGCACGTGCGAATTCTTACCTTGGGCATCTGATGGATGCACTGTGAACTTGAGATCATGAACAGACAGCTGGAAGACGACGGATGACAACAGGTTGGCGTACAGGAGAACCGGCTGCTGAATGCTAGCACTCCACGTTCCGATATCGGGCAACGACAGGTTGAACGCCACACCTTGGCCGGTCAAGGACAACTCAATCGGGGTAGTGATGGTAGTGGTGTGAGAAGAAGTGCGGCGCATAGGTGAAGGTTCTGTTGGAGACATTGGCGGTAGGGACTCGGTCAAGATCATTACGTTCTCTTCACTGCCTGACAGGAACAGCTTCTGGATAACTGCCAGCAGGGGCTGAATATTGTTCTCCCATGCTGACAAACATGCTTCGAGCTGCACACATAGGACACAACACACCAAGTACGCACACACAAATACAGATGAGTTGCAAAAATTGAAAAATCCAGAATCACAGATTCAGCACTGCAAAATAGTGTTCACCCTAACGGACACCTTCTCTCCAATAAATGTATAGGCAATCTTCCTAGTGTAGAAGATAGCAAGATTGTATTCAAGGCCACGCCGTTTTTTCTATGTTTCGCGTCACCTTATTCGATGAAATCAATGAGGGAGGGCGAAAAAAATAAAAAGCCATCCAAAAAAAACCAGTGTACGTGCATTGCATTTGGGTACAGTGAAGCGACGTGGCACTGATCGTCTGCTCATGTACATGTACATAATGTTGACATGTACAGTGCTGGCAACTGAAATCCGACCCCCTGGGATTTCAGTTGCCAGCACTGTACATGAATACATGAGTGTATCCCCTCTGCCATGCTTGTGCCAGTTGTGGTCCAAACACAGGCGGCATGATTGTGTGACTTGCGGCCCAGCTTATTACACACACATGTGCAAATGCCATGTACATGTGTGTGAGCTGAGTACAATCATGCGAACAAATATTTAATTGATGCCAACATAATAGTTACGTGTAACAATCATGTTCCGTTTTTCTGGGTTTGCATTAATTGTATTGCATTTTCAAAAAAAATTGTTCCGTTTTTTTTTTTTTTTAAACTCCGGCTGTGAAATACATGCGCGCGGCCGCGCGGGGGACGCGAAACACAGATATATAACGGTGTGGCCCAAAGTTCAAACAAACAGGCAGCAAAGTCTGTGGGTTTGTCGAACTCGGACTGGTTCCCTTTCAGCTTGGGTTTCTGACAGAGGATGAATTTTCGGCCTGTGCCCGAAAAATGGGACAGTGATTCGGCAGCACAGCATAGTATGCTACAGTCCGCGGAAGAATGGGCATGCTTTAGTGAATAACACCGCGCCCAGAAAAGACAAATAAAACACCACAACAAAGCTCCTACCTGCCGGTGTCCAACATGTACGCTGATGAGCTGCAACATGGACATCTCCAGCAAGTTACCAACACGATACAACGTCATGTCAATGTTGCTAGCAGAATCTGGCAACTGCGGAAAGCAACAGCAGCAGCAGCAGCAGCAGCAGCACACACACACACACATACACACACACACGTGCACACACATGTGCACACACACACACACACACACACACACACACCTTGACCTTTGACCTTTGACGCCCATCGCCGGAGGCGATGATAGCAATGCTACGGCAGTAGCCATAGCAACTTGTGCTGGGATTGCACCATTCAACAGCTTGCAAGGCTGAAGAATTGACCGTCACTATTCAGCCTGGTCTACACCATACAGCTATTTGAAGTGACTTTTTCTGGCCAGTGAATCCCTATCTTTGGTCTTTTTCTTTTTTCTTTTTTTTTTCTTTTTTTTTTTCCCACACACACATCACACCACATACTCCGGCATGCACTGGCTGTTGGTAACCACCCAGGAGAATGAAAGAAAAGTCAGGAAGAGTCTGAGAAAGAGAAGAAAGACGTGTGTGACCATAATCGTCGGGAATCGAACCCGCAACCTATCGATTGGAAATCGCTGCACATACCACTGCACCATATGGGACACACACACACACACACACACACACACAAACGCACGTACATACACGAACACACGTACACACACCACTGTACACGCCTATACATACACAACCTCACAGCATAGTAACGTTATAGACCCTCTTCCCATATTTGTCACACACACACACACATGTGCACATACACATGTGCGCACACACACACACACACACACACACACACACACACACACACACACACACACACACACACACACACAGACCATCACTGAGCTGAGAGGAACAGAACAGTACATGATGACCACCGATATCGTGGAAAATACACATATCTCTCCATACAGAATGTTGGTAAGCGATAGCAATGGCACTCTATGGTTGAATAGCATAACTGTGTGTGTGGATGCCAGTACACCCCCAGTGCCCAGGCCAAGACGACAAGGCTCCTGTGTGGGTGTCAATATATCCCCAGTACACAGGCCAAAACAGAAAGACTCCTGTGTGGGTTTCAGTATACCCCCAGGACCCAGCCCATGCCGGAAAGACACCAGTGTGGGTGTCCGTATCTCTTAATTTGCTAAATCCTAGGATTTTGGTCATATTTTTCAACTCAAAATGGGTGTGGCATGAGAATAGCAAAAAGTATGTGACCAATTCTTCCTTGCTAGGTCTTAGTAGATATCGAGAGTTGAATAAGAGAATTTTTTCAAACACTAACATCTCAGGCTCATCTCCTTGCCCAATATTACTAAGGCCTGTGCCCTATTTTTCGAATCCTATATAATTATAGGATTTGAGATTTTATTGGGCCTTGTTTTATCCTTAAAACTGGTAGTTTCATGACGGCATGTGCGATATGTCGTCATGAAACCACCCTGTGCCACACCTGCAATGTTCTTCTGCACATTCACTGCTTCAGTCCTTTCCATGACAGCAGCTGAACAATTATGCTCAAATTTCCAATTATTGCTGGAAATGGGTATTTATCAGAAATATTATCGCCCTATGAATCTAAAATGTAAACATTCATGCCTCAAACATACTTTACAACTTTCATGAAAACCATTATGCCGTTATTATTGGTTGTGATGACCAATCACAACGGCATAAAAGGCACACATTTTCAAATCCTATATATAGGATTTTTGGCCAGCAAATTAAGAGATACTCCCAGCGCCCAGGCTATGCCAGCAAGACTTCTACTCACCAGTCCAGTGAGCTGAGAGAGGTGCCAGGCCAGAGCAATAGTGACCTGGCAGCATGGTACAGACAGCAACGGCACCAGCACAGCACTGCTACTCGGCACTCTGTAGCAGTCACATTGGCAACAGGCAGAGAAACAGGGACAAAAAAACCTTTGCAGCCTGGCCATGAAGCAATTGGCACCATACATATACAAACACGCGCAAATCACGCACACACAGAGGAAAATACACACCACACACCGTACACATAGCACACTTCATGCGACAACACAAAAAAGAACATGAATGAGGACGAACTTTCAACTAAAAATCTATCATCACTAAGACAACATCTACAGTTCTGGCAGGTACCAGTAGCTTACTAACACAGCTCACAGCTTGCTTTTACTGATTTTGAGTAAAGGCATGGCTGTCGGTCTCTACACGAACATATGTTGGCATGATACCATTGCTACTATCAACCTACTCCTTAGTGAAATTGATCACCCTCTCAAACAGTTACTAGTACACCCCATCACCTTTGTCCTTGAGAATAACTATTCTAAGGCTGTGTTTACATGAGAGTTTGCAACCCAGGTTGAGCTCGACCTGGGTCAAGTTTCAACCCGCCATGAACACAGATTGACTGGAGCGTTTACACGACGCATTCCACTTGACCCGGGTTGATTTCAACCCTGGCTACATACCGTTGCTGCGGCTCGGACTTGTTCCACTCCAGAGCGGGCACCTGGCCAGAGTCGGGTTCCGCCGAGAGATCGCCTTGACGACCGGCGGCCATGGACTGCAGCGCCAGCTGTACAGTGGTCCAGGGTGTCACGGCAACGCTGAGTCCCTTCAACATGGCCTCCAGCTGGATATCCTTGCAGACCAACTGATTGGCCTGGAGAAAAGAAAACGCAAACAGCCAATATCCACTGCCTTCAGCACACAGGCAAAGCAAGAATAGATAGATTCTACACAAAAGAATGAGAGTGACCACTGGTACTGTACAATCAGGTGACTACCTGCTTCACAGGACCACTACAACCAGGACCAATGGATGTTATTTCCAGTCAAATGACCCTGGATAAGGAGAACACTTGTACACGAACACATTTCGAAGGTCCATTAGAGCGCTCGGCTCACTGCACAGCGGCATATCACATTCTACCAGCAAAGGAAGGAGACAGATGCAATACAGCACTGCATGGTGGTGTTCAACTGAGCCGGCGTTTCATGCTCAGGTATTCTTCTGGCATCTATAACAATCAAAAATACACCAGTGCATGTCACAATATGACTATCGTGCAGTCAGAATCGAGGAATAGTTCGTCAGACATTTACTAATACACTGAATCAGTCCTAGAGGAAAGTGTGTTGGCAGTTGTGTCAGCAAATCCTCACCAACAAGCTTCTTCTCCAACCGCAGACCTGGTCACCTTTAATAATCTTCTCCATGACCAGCGGAATGATCGGGTTAGCAGGACTGGGGCCAACATGTACTTCTGACAGCTGCAGGTCAACGCAACGCAGCAAAGCAAACAACAGACATGGATAAATGAAATGAGAACTGATACGAGCCCACAACATGGCCACTGGTCCAAAACCTGGCTTCCGGTCATGCTTTCATCAACAAATAATCAAACTTGAAAGTATAAGGGAACTATCTGGTATTCGAAAATTGGTTTGTTGCACTGCACGACAATCTCTCAGTGAACCAACCACCTTCAAATAAAGGCTTGACCTGGTGGAAGGAGTAGGCAGCATGCAAATACTGGCCAAACACAATCTATGCACAAACCAAGAGCAGCCTATACCAGTACAAAATTGCATGTACAGGTGGAATCCTCATAATTCCAACCTCCAAATGCCAGGAAAAACTTCTAATTATCCGGATATTCTAATTATCCAAACATGACCCCACAACATAATATGTATGTCAAAATGCTCCCATGGTCACGCAGAGTTGCGCTATGGACCTTAGACACAGATTTCACGGACACTGAACTGACCAGCACAGCCTGCTCATGCAAACTGAACTGATCAGTACAGTGTACAGCGAACTTCGAATTACACTTTGCTAACTTCGAATTATCAGCACAAATCCCACACATTTTCTATGTAAGTGGAATCCGTGGAACTTCGAATTAATCGGACATGTCCGGTTCGAGGTTCGAATTATCAGAATTTTTTATGTGGGAATCGTATTGACAGAAATCGGTCCTGGAAAAACTTCTAATTAAGCGGTATGTTCGAATTAAGCCATATTCGAATTATCAGGATTCCACCTGTATTAACTGTCGACACCACAACATCACGATCACCGCGATTCACCGGAATCACTTACGTGCAAAACAAGAGTGTCCGCATTGGCAGCTGTGTCGGATGTGGACTCAAGATCGGGGGGCACATCACACACAGAGGGCACGGCAATGGTGATGCCGTGCACGTCTAGAAAGAGACAGGGCAGCACCAGGCCATCACCGCTGCCTTTCAGGCGCCGTGTGGCCGCCGGTAGCAGACTAGTGACATGCCGTACACACTCAGCACCGTCCGCACTCAACTGAAACACGTGGAGGATATCAGCGAGCACAGGACAGCACGCGACTATAGTGCACGGCTTCAGTGCCACGTGAAGCTCCCCTTTCCACGGTGACGAACCCTCCGGGGCACCGATTCGCTGTTCGTCGTACTCCCTGTGTGCCCCGAGCGTGCACTTGGTGTTGTAGCGAACCGAAAGAAACGCCCTGGTCTTGACCTCCTCCCTGCATTGCAGACTGTCCGGCCGCTGATCCTGCGTGGGTGATACGTCTTGCTCGGTGTGCAGCGTGTCAAAGATATCCGGAGAGCCACGCGTGAAGAACACACCCGACCAGGGCCCGCTGTCCCATTTGCCATCAGACCTGAGTTGAGGAAGGGAAGCACATGCAGAGACAACATGGGTATGAAACCTTTGGGTCAGAGACTGACTTGGCTTTTTTAATTTTTGTATGCATATTCAAGTATAAAAAATTGCTCATCGTCCTTGATGACGAAAAATTGCTCATCGTCCTTGATGACGAAAATTGCTCATCGTCCCTGATGACAAGCTGATGTTCAACAAGCGGGTGGAGACAAAAATAAGAAATAAACTCAACCAATCAGCCCGCGTCCACACACACGCAGCACAAACACACGCACACACACACACACACACACACACACACACACACACACACACACACACACACACACACACACACACATACACACACACACAGAGTACATGCAGGTGTATGTACCTGAGTGCTTGGTGAGAGACAGCGACATCGCCGACCAGATATCTACCATCCACGTCGGTACCGCTGGCGTCCACTGACGCACTGAGGTCCTCCAGTGAGACGGTGAAGGAGGTCTGCGCGGATCTCACGCACACCTGCAGCAAGGGCAACGTGCACTGGATCCACACGGAGAGCGGCCGTGAGTTGGTGGTGGTGGTGTCTGACACAGGCAGTGTTGTGGATTGCTGGCCAGCGCGCTTCACGGGAGGAGTGCCAGACTGCTGTGAGCCGGCTTGGCTCTTGACAGAACTCTCCCTGGCCGCCCCTGGGACACCACTATCAGTGGACACAGAGTACGCACCGCTATCCTGCACATAGGCAGAGAACACAGGGACAACAAACACCTTTGCAGCCTGACCATGAAACAACTGGCATCATACACATAAGCACACAAACACGAGCACTATGCTGCTGCAGAATACAATGCAGTAGAGTGTTGAAAGAGCGGAGGGGAAGTTGGCAAACACAGCTCACACATCCATACCTTTCTACACACATGTACACATATGGACACGCATACGCTCACAGGTGTGCACGTCAACACACAGAGTGCACTGCAATGCATCCATGAGGCAAAGTATGTACAACGATCATTCTCTACTAAGCAGCTGGAGGTGGCATCAGGATTAACTAACCGGTGCTGATGATGAGGCGAGTTTATCATACTGCTCTGTGACTCGATGGATGCCAGCCGGATCAACAGCACCACTGGTAGCTGAAGACTGGTGCCGATGACCAGGCAGGCTATGTGCAAGCGGAATATCAGTGAAAAGTGGCGCAGACTGCCAAACAGACACGACCACATGCAACCATCCAGCAGCTAACGACTGCAGCAGCTGGATCTGCTTCTGCGACACCAACAGGCACACGGGCTCAGCGTTGCCGTGAATCACGACGCCCGGCAGAATCTGTGCAGAGCAAGTGCCACCTTTTTGTTGTTGTTGGCGTTCTGCGTCAGCAATGGCCGCTGCAGCTGCTGCACTGGCTGCCAGTGGGGTCGACGTGACCGGGCCAGGAAAGGCGCCAGCAAGCAACGGATCCGCGTTCACGTTGTCGGCAACAGGAGAGAGGAAGTCCGGAGGTGTGGTGAACACGGAGTGTGACTGTGATGTTGGCTGAGAATCATTCTGACTGGCAGCTAGCAAGACATGGAGACCGGTTGCTTGCAGAATGTTACACACCTACAGTAGCAACAACAAGCAACAGGAAAAATACTGGCATACACACAGCTATGGGCATTTCAAATTTTGCCAGTGACACCAGACAACACCCCCCCCCCCCTGACAAGAAACAAGTCAACCTAGGTACATGATGGACCTGGGTGGAGCATTTGGCATACGTGACAGTGACCGGGGGGACGCTACGTCTCTTTGCACCCAGCCCTTGTTTCATTGGCATGCGTGGTCCGGCACATGTGACGTCATCACTTCGCAGCCAGACACTAGCTCTCTAGACTAGTGGCTGTGACGTACCTCCACCAGGCAGTCTTGATCCTGTGCAGTAGCTTGGTGTGGTGATATAGTAAACGCACTAACACCAGTCAGGCTGATAGCACACGGCAAGCAGTCCTCGCTAAGCTGGCGAATGGGTACGGTGTCAACCTGGCCAGTCAAACCAACAAGCACACAGACACCGACAAGTACACACACACACACACACGCACACACACACACACGCACACACATACAGACTGTGATGCACAGACACAGACACACGTACAGCCACAGCCACACATGAGCTGTAGGAAGACTGAATGCTGGTGGGACACACCGCAGCACAGTAAAAATAAGCAATCATTAAAAATAGGAGCCCAGGACGTGCCATACCTGGTTCTCGAGGCGAACTTGCGATAAACACGGCAATGTCTGCTCAACTGCCAGGCGTACACCGGCACTGGCAAGGTTGTGTGAGGTCAGCTGAATAGCAGGCAGACAGAATACCAGCGATGGCGGCAGCGGAGGATGGGGAATCTGCGAAGTAAAACAACCTAACTGGAACGCTGAGATGATGTCTCCGGCCGGACTGGCTTGCTGGAAAGCTGATGACAGTAAGACAGTGGGCAGCACAGAGGATTCAGTATCAATTCCACACACACACACACACACACACACACACACACACACACACACACACACACACACACACACACACGCCACCACCACCACCACCACCACCACCACCACCACCACCACCACCACCACCACCACCACCACCACCACCACCACCACCACCACCACCACCACCACCACACCACCACACCACCCATTGGCTGCAAAGCAGCAAGGCAACACAAACTTAAATCAGCGCACAGACTTATTTCCTTATGCAACTGCCAAGTTACATCTGTCTCACTGCTTCTCAACACAGACATGCCATGGAAGGAAGTGATGCTCACCTGATAAAGAGTCCGACGGCCACAGCAGGATTATAGGATCAACGTTAACCTGCAGGAACAGAACAGAACAGAAAAGACGCCAACATTTGCTGTTTCCTCAAATCCACTCAACCACAGTAAGTGCACCGAGTCCGTCACCACATACAGTCCATGATAGACAAAGTGTACTGATCGCCTTGCTTTGCGAATACAGCAACCAACAGGCTGCGGGTGGCTTGCCACTCTGCCTTGATTCTTTCAACCCTGTTATTCTCCTAGGTTGAAGTAACACTTACGATGTGAATCGAAGGCAATGAATGTCGCATCCAGCAGAAACGGTACGAGCAAAAGGCAGATTTGCAACACTGTTGTACAGTACAATTGGATGATGTTCTTTGTTCTAAAGATGGGCTAGGCAAGAGAAGAAATCCAGCCCTACCTGCATGACAGCCTTGCTTAGCATTGTCATCCAGCCAGGAATGTTTACACCGTTGGGGGCAGAAGCATCAGACGTGGATGCCGGGCCCGTGTTCTCCTTGCTTTGCCCATCACCACCGTCAGCATGCTGCGTTTGTCCTGGTAGCATGCTGGGCTCAGCGGCCATGGGGCTCAGAGCGGCAGGGGCTGCCGGTGCATCCACATCACTCTCGTCCAGTCCGAGAGAGGATAGCCCAGACAGGCTGGCTTGAGAGATATGGCGGATAATACCTGTCAACAAGCACATCAACACAGTCAGCCACATTAATAATTAATACCACCTACACATACGAATATGCAGGTACTGTATGAGCAATGAGCAACAGACTGCTATGACATGCCATATCACAACAAGAACAACAGCAAGCAAGGAGGCGAGTATATGTGCAACTCCAGCCTGGAGTGGTCGACAGCGTCGCAGACAGGCACCTGTGCTGGCCCACCCACATCCAGGATCTTGGGCATTGTAAACTCCAGCTAGCCGGGCCAGCCCGTTAACGGTTTGCCACACAAGAGCAAAGTGAGATTTTAGATTGTTAGCGTACATGCCCGCGAGGCTGGATGCAGGCAGGCCTGTCTGCCTGTCGTGGCCAGCCCCGGCTGGATTAGCAAAATAAAATCAAACGTTTTAGTAGGTGAGAAGCAGAGGAATAGCGTTACAGCCATCATGGGCAAGGTGAATGGCGGAGAACGGCCACCAGATTCAGTACACACAATTCAACAACACGGTACCCTACATGATAAGAATGCCCACAGTCATACACAAGTAGGTTAGCTACATGATGAGAATGCCCACAGTCATACACAAGTAGATCAGCTATTGGACAAGCAAGCAGTAATCAGAAGCAAGGATCAAAAAGTGAATTCACAAAAAAAACTATACGTAAGAACTCGGATAATGAGCCGAGGAAAAACTATCTATTTTCGCAAACCACACATTCACACAGCAAGCTTTAACTCACGTGGACGTGACACGGCACGTTTGGGTGAGTCATACGTTGGTAGATCTTCGGCATAGACCTTGTGTAGGTGATCCAGCGAGGATATCAACCAGGTCTGGAGACCAGTGTCACAGTTCAGTGCAGTGCCAGTCACTTTCAGCAGTACAAGACCACGCGCGACTGCACAACATACAGAGAACACACAGCAGAGAGCACAACATGTATGAGGGTAGATGTCTCAATGGCAGTCTATCAACAACAACACCAGCCCACATAACGGAGGCATAGACTACAGTGTACCACACTGAAGAGAATTTACGGTGAAAGTCAAGGGACATGCTTTTTCTGCTAGCAAAAAAACCGTGTATGCCATTTCATCAATCATGTCCAATGTATAATTATATTGACCGCAGAAGTAGTGGCAGTTTTTACGAAGATTGGGGCCCACTGTGCTGCAGTGTCACTTTGGTACGCGTACCAACGGGTGCGGCTGTATCCTGCACGGGCTGCTGAAAGGTGAACTGAGCAAGCATGTCACCACCCGCCGCCTGCTGCTGTCCTCCCGGCGGTGCTGCAGTCCGGGACGTGAAAACCCTGCCCTCGGCCACAGAGCCAGTGTTGACTGGACCAGCAGCAAGCACCACTCCTTGCTGCGAATCTAGCAAAGCAAGCACACACACACACACAGACAAATCACCAGTCAATAACATCGCTCATACTCTTGGCAGTGATTGACCTCCTCTCTCGCGGAGCCAAGCAGAACGTGCGCCATTACTCCGCTGGTCGCTATGGCAACGTGATCATACAATTGGGGATTTGGCAAGTTTGGCTTACTAGTATTCGTATGCAAGCGAGAGATACGCCATTCGAACCAATATCAAATTGTCACTCATCTGAACCCTACTGACTTATTCGGTGCAATACAATACCAACAACCCCCAAACCAAGTTGCAACGATTTCATGAATTCTTATAGTGACCAAGTGAAGGTTTGTAGGGACGGCTAGCTGCTCATGCAGACCTACAGTGCTGCACCATGAAATAACCCGTACCTGCCTGGCGCACAGAAAGCTGAGCCGACGAGACACGGCCAGATTGAGCGTTGGTGAATTGCGTTACGTAGGATGACATCTGAGCGCCCTCCACAACAAGCTGGATAAGATTCTGTCCAGCTGCAGCCGATGAGCAAAAAAACCACAGTATGGGAAACAAGTTCAATCATTTGTTGAACATCCTGCAACTTCCACATAGATGAGGAAGGAAGCTGATCACGACAGTACTGTAAAAGCCATATTATATATAACGAAGTGCTAACTCTAACGAGTTAACGAGGGGAAATCTGTCGTTAAAGGGGAAGTTAAGGCAAAAATTAAAATTTCACCAGTTGTAGTCTTCGGGGTGCTGAGTCGAATGGTCTTGGTCCGAGGAAGCTGAGACGCTCCCTTCCTACTTGAATCCCAATCGAACTCGCGCACTTCCACCGAAACTGGGTGACTGCGCCCTACTAGATGGGGATTTGTATGCAAAATGTCACTAAAAGCGTCATTTCGTTTTTATAAAAGCACGGATGACCGCGATTGGCCCATATGTTGTACTCTTTTGGACGCTGAGTCGACTGGTTTTGGTCCGAAAAGGCTGCGATGCAGCGTTCCTCCTTTATTCCCAATCGAACATGGTTGAACAAGCGGTCACGTGCTCCTGGGTGCCCAAATCACCTGGTCACCATGCCAGCAGGCGACAACTTTCACACCAAGGTTCAACTCGAGTAACAGGACTGCACCCAAAAAAGGTCAAACAGGCTAGTAAGTTGTACCCTGCAGGCACGGTGACCAGGTGACTGGTGTACGCAGGAGCACGTGACCGCTTGTTCAACCATGTTCGATTGGGAATAAAGGAGGAACGCTGCATCGCAGCCTTTTCGGACCAAAACCAATCGACTCAGCGTCCAAAAGACTACAACATATGGGCCAATCGCGGTCATCCGTGCTTTTATAAGAACGAAATGGCGCTTTTAGTGACATTTTGCATACAAATCCCCATCTAGTAGGGCGCAGTCACCCAGTTTCGGTGGAAGTGCGCGAGTTCGATTGGGATTCAAGTAGGAAGGGAGCGTCTCAGCTTCCTCGGACCACGACCATTCGACTCAGCACCCCGAAGACTACAACTGGTGAAATTTTGATTTTTGCCTAACTTCCCCTTTAAAATAGAAATCGTTATACAGAAATTGATACATATACTGTCCTATTGAGCGTTGAGAATGAGTGAGAATCGTTACCTTTGGTACACGTAAACTAGTCACTTTGGGGAAATCGTTATATATGCGCCTCGTTAGAATAATGGTACGGTCAGGGAGGAAGAGCAAATAGCCTTGGCTCCCTTCGATAGAACATTGTCAAGTTCTAACTTTTAAGCAAGCAAAGGAGTCCACCATGATACGCTCTCATTTAGGAAAAAGGCATTCGTATCTAATCTACTAGTACAAAGTCTGGTAGATCTAAAGCAACAAAGAATTTGCTGCAACTACTAGAACTACGTATTGCTGTCATGTGAACAAGGAAGGTCAGAACACATCACATACTAGTATCAATCAAAGGAATCACAATGCGCACCTCTGAAGAGATCCGGGTCCAGCGCCAGCACGGACTGAGTGTGCGTGTGCAGAGCCTCGACGGCCATGCGTCTCTCACGACTTGAGAACTTGGTGCCAGCACCGAAGGCACTGGTGAGACGCAGGAAGCGCACGGCGAGGATTAACTCAGCCAGCGAGATGTGAGCATGGAAACGGGGAAGTTCAATTCTGGTTTCACTCTCTACAGCCAAACCAGATACCCTACAACAGCACAACAAGAAAACAGACATGCTCATGAATGGAAACAAACAAATATTTTTTAAATCGCACAAGCTGGAGTACATAAGCAGATCAAAATCCACAAGGAAAAACAAACACATGCACGCATACACATGTACATGTATGTGTACGCACACACACACACACAGCCAACAATACCGTACACGCACGCACGCACGCAAGCACGCACGTACACACACACACACACACACACACACACACACACACAATTACTACAAGTAGTACACACGCCAGTGACTACATTATAGTACACATGTATTTCTGACAAACACAAGCAAACAGGCATATCCTTACAGGGAGTCTGGAGCAAGTAGGCGGCGGATGTAGATTGACAACGTTGTGGGTTGAACAAAGCATGTCTTTCTGGTCAGAGACTGTGGATTCTCTAGCCATGCAAAGCCACCAGATGTGCCGAAGCTCTGACACGCACACAAAGAAAAGCAGTGCCAAATAAACGCAAGCGGAGATTAGCGACACCGTGGTCATACAATTGCACTCAGTGGATAGAGGCAAGAGGAAAAGGCTCACCACCCTGGGAGAATATTGCTGAACCCCCCCTGGTCTTGTAGGCTACAATTATAGGATTTCTTGACAGGCAAGCCTACCAGTATACAATATAGCAAGCGTAGATGATACCCAGAGTGTGCAGCTCGGATGGGTTGCTGTCATGGCGAAATTCCGGGATTGCATCATGTTAGCGATGTAGTGAGTACAAGAAGGATTCAAGCAGATCTCTTTCTGCACAACTGCAGCTCAGTTGTACGCACTACGCCACTTCCCGCCTCAAATCTGCACCAAATATGATGTAATCCTGGAATTTTGCCGTGACAGACATATCCATGCAGAAAAGTCAGAAGCTGCACACTCCGGGTTCCATGTACTCTTGAATATAGGTGTAGAGATTGACACGATCACCATGGCAACACAGAGGCTTGGAATGGAATACAGGGGAAAGTTAGGAAAAAGGCAGTCAAACATGAACCGAGATTATAGCTCTCCATCATGTTCTACAATCACATGATGTACCACAAGTACATGTAGTACCTTGATGACATTCTCGGAGTAGCACTGGTTAGGCAGTACGGCCAGCTTCAAGACCGACGGTGGAGCGCGCGACAATCGTGGCCAGTACATGGCACGGGTAACCTGTGCGCGTTGCAAAGCACAAACAACACAAGCAGATAAGGAAATGTAGAGCACCTTCTCGTCTCCGTTCCCAAGGGAACTTATGATAGCCGCAAACACCCGGAATATCCCATAGGACCGATACTTTCAACAACAAAAACAGTGCAACTTTGCAACTTTCCCTCAAACTGATGAAGACTCAGTGCAACGTCTGTCATTCCAATACAGTCAGACCTCGCTTATCCGGTCCTCTTTTATCCGGATCCCTCGCCATCCGGAAGAAAATAGCTGGTTACATATTAACAGCATGCGTGATGCATCCAACATAAGCGGTGTCCGGTTATCCGGTTCCCTCGCCTATCCGGATATTTTTGTGGAAAACAGATGTGTGCGGTTATGCGAGGTCTGACTGTACCATTAAATTCCTACTGGCAGCACAAAACCACCATCGAGGAAATGGGATGCTGAGACAGTTGAGGCAATAGAAGTGTGCTGCAAAACTGCACAACAAAATACCATGTCTTCATGTTGTGTGTATTTGCAGATACCACACAGCCTGCCTGGCAAGCAGTGCACTAAAAGCAATGGCAAGTTCACTAGGAAAAAAAATGTGCTGCATTTGCTGCGTAGTTGCAGTCGCGTACACCTGAGCAGCGTGTACAGTACAACAGCCACTCTCCCATGGGCTGCACTCGAGCAGCTTGCACAGTACACCAGCCACTCTCCATGGGCTGCCTGGCTTACCTGCCAGTCGATACGCGACGCATCTAGCCACAGGACAGTGCGAGGTCGAAACACTGAGCTGCTGCTGCCACTGGTTACACCAGAAGGTACGGTTTTCGCTGACGGTGTTACCGGCGCCCATTTGAATGATGAACTAGAGCTACCAGTCAGGCTGGACGGGCCTGCAAAGGCAAGACAAGTCAAAACAAAAACAACAGGAGCAGAAGCGCAGCACCTATTAAACACCGCTGCCAACATCCCCACCCATGATATCAGCAACATCAACAGATTCATTGTCATCACTTTGTGAGAGCTGCGGCATCATCAACATACAGAACTAGAAGGCAGAAGAAATGTGTCGCCCTCCACTTGTGACGAAGAAGAAAACAAACAAACACGAGAAGAACACCAGGAACACCATCATCACAAGCACCCGCAGGAACATAGGAAATGTCTTGTCTTCTCACCAGTAGGGGGAGCAGCTGGAGACGTTGCTGAATGAGGCCGATGCTGTGACTTGCTGCTGCTCATCTGGACAGGACTCGGCAGTGGCTCGGCAGGCAGGCAGCTGTACAATATCTACAAACAAAGTGAAATACATGCACATACACATGTACAGAGACTTCTATACAAAACTACCTTGCTCACTTGCAGAACAGTGGGCAAAGGGAGCTCCCAGCAAGGATACAGTCAGACCTCGCTTATCCGGTCCTCTTTTATCCGGATCCCTCGCCATCCGGAAGAAAATCGTTGGTTACCGATTTACAGCATATGCCATGCATACATAAAGTATGTGTGTTCGATTATCCGGTTCCCTCGCCTATCCGGATATTTTTGTGGAAAACGGATGTGTGCGGTTATGCGAGGTCTGACTGTATAGCCATTGCTGACAGAACCACTTGAGACACAACTATCCGACGCTGCTACAGTACAATCATGTAGATTCACAGTTGTAAAGACGTATGTAAACATTCATTCTAGCATAGTGTACGTATGCTGTTGGGAATTACCCAATTACACCTTGATGGCCCATCCCGGCAACTGCCAGCATATCAACATCTTGACTACTTTGTAAGAAACTTAGATTTCGACTTTATCTCAAACCTTGAATGTCATCATACCAGATCAACACACACAGCCAATAATCAAGATCACATCAAGTAATAAGAGAAGCAGGTTTTCGACCATTCCAATCACATGCAATACAGCTAAACAGAGTCAATGAAAGGAAAGAGTACACTATATTAAACGCATCACAGCGATGGAACCAACACAGCTACGTGATACAAGTACATCCAGCACCAACAATAGCGCTAGGCTGGACTTTAGACTGCACTAACTTGGATCTCAACAACTTGTACTGTTGAGCACTGGAGGTCCACATTGCCAGTGCTGATTCACTATTGTAAAACATGCAATTTTCGGTGTAACTTTAATTTCAGTGATTTCGGTAGAGAAAACAAGCACCTAAATTTAAGTTACACCTAAAAGGCGCTAGAGTATGCACTGTATGTGATGGGAACGCTGGTCGCCTAATTCTAAATTACACCTGAAACCTGGCAGGTCCCTACCACAGAAATGTTAATGCACCTAAAATTACATGTTTTACAGTAACTGTGACATTGCATTTCACCCTGACGGGTCTGAGGGGAACTGGGTGAACTGTATCTGCTCTATTCTGATATCCTAGCGAGATGTTTATCAAGAGCAAGGGCAATGCAACACAGTAAACGTGCCCATTGTTCAAAAAAGCAAAACAATACTGTGTACTATGTCAGTATGTGCATACAGTGAGTTCTCTTTTTGTACCCATTGTTGGCCTTACCTGTACTTTGTTGAAGGTGGCATGTATCACAGTTGCGGCGCGCTGGAAACCACCAACAGGTAGGCACACAGGCTGTGCGGACTTGTCAGGTGAGGATGTATCCACCGAACTTTCTTGAGGCTTGCCTGTTAGCACAAACAACACACAGCGAGGTGGACATTTTTATCACCCTGGCTTCAACAATGCAGAGCGCAGCTGCACAATCTCACACACTAGAAGAATACAGTATGCACTGGACAAGTACAGAGCTGACTGGTGAGGAGCACGAATGAAAGTAAAATAGATACTAAGAGATAAGCCCTGGTCTATGCAAGCGCCTACATTGAACTGCAAGAAGCCAACAGCAGGTACTTACCGGCAGGCTTGTCATCGGGTTTGGTGAACAACTGCACGCGTTGAAGAACATCATCAGACATCAGCAGCCAGGTGGGGCCGACCAACAGCCTCTGCTTGCTCGACTCCACAATGCCGTCGCCAAAACCACCCTCGCCAGCCATGGGTGGCTGCGTCGGGGGAATTCCACTGCTTGCTGGAAGCACAGCATACGCAGGACATATGTGTGTGCATTGCATACAAAATCCAATACAGCACAAGCATGACATACTGTAAAAGCAGAAATTTTCGGTGGTGTTTTATTTCGGTAACTTCGGTGCCGACAATTTTTACCGAAAAAAAACGCACCGAAAATTTCGGTACTACCGGTACTGTATACATGTACATGTAGTACTAGTACACTAACCTACGTGGAAAACAGGGTTTACCGAAAATTTCCCTCCACCGAACCGCCGATTTTGGAGAATGCCGAAAATATTACACCACCGAAAATTTCAACTTTTACAGTATGTGTGCATTGCATACACAATACAATACTGCAGCCATCAGAAAGGGTTCAAAAAGTCGTGAAGCAGCAAGCAACACTTGGCAACACAAACTATATGTAGGCAAGTCAAATACCGCAACGACAGTGCAGGACACACGCAATTCTGCTTAGTAACTGGACTCTACACACCACACCATACCTGCCAGTTTCTCCAGGGCGTGTTGACCAGGCACAGAGCCATCGACGTAAGGCAGAACATACCGATAGTCAAACAAGAGTGCAGAGTACGTGTTCGTCTCTTTCAACTCATCACGAACACTGTACAGGTCGAGCATAGTCTTCGTGTCAGCTTTGTCGTCATCAACACTGACATCAGTGTGTCGTACAGTTGTCACAGCTGAACCAGTACCAGGGTTCGCCGTCGTCGTAGCTACCTGGTCAGCCGCAGCAGCGCCCACACTGTCGTCAACGTTCGTCCCGGGCTCCACAAGCTCCTTCACAATGGGCTTGAAGAGAGACTCGGCTAGGAAGTCGCTGCTGTTCGCTGGCACTGAGCCCAGCTGGAAAAACAGCTCAGCCTGGAGTAACGCATGCACAGAAATCACGCAGACACAGGAGAGCACAGTGATTGGCTGGGGTGATAGAAACATAAATACCATAGTGTCTTGTGTTAAAGCCTTTCTCATATAGAAGCCTGTTTCGAATACAAGCCTCATTTTCTAGATACACTGTCGATACATAGGCCTGGTTTTAGTGTTGACACGCATAGAAATACCTGGTTTGAATAGAAGCCTGATGTGAATAGAAGCCTAGCCCTGACATTGGCGTCAACAGGAATAAGCCTAGGCTTTAATACGCGACATTACGGTAACAAAGTATGGCCAGCAATATTGGAACGAACAAAAGGATCTATTGAAACACACTATCTGAAGGCTTGCAGGGCGCAGCTTAACGAGAACCAGGTGATTGTATGGCTCACCTCAGCATCTTCCGTGGCATGGCGTATCCAGCTGGCTTCGATGGAGCCGCACGCCAGCAACGTGTCGAAGAAATGCTTTCCCTCCGCGATGATCTGAAGCGTGGACAGGTGCAGGTCGACGACGATCCACGGCACGCCGATGCACCTCTGGCGACGCAGCTTGCTGCTGCGCTGCGTGCCATGCAGCTGCTTTAGTGTCACGGTGCCATGGCGGACAAAGAACGCCACGGCAAACCGCTTCTCGCGCTGCAGTCGGTTGGCACGCGCCTCCACAGGGCTCTTAGCACTGTCATCAGCTTCAACAGAACACAGTAGAAAAAAAGAGAGGAAATCAGAGCGAGTATGACCTGGTGAATAGCGCTACAATGTAGTCTAAATCACCCAAGCCAGCCAGCCACATACTATTATGATTGCGACATATGTACGACGTCAAAAAATCAACAATTAGAAGCTGCTTCTCTTAGGATTGCGAGTTGACTTGAAACTCCACTGTAGCTACGTACTAAATACCGTCATCTTTTACACCACACTTACAACGCTTACAGTTAATTGGGAACTTAGTTGGGAACTCGTGGCCTGGCATGAGTAAAACATGGATGTGGCAAATGGGATTTAGGCCTTTGGCCTATGGTTGGTGGATCTGATCTATCCTCCCCCACTGTTTAGGAGCCGCATCTGATGCCTGATCATGGGGTGGTGGCGTCCCACGGAAGCGGAAAGGTGGTTCTTGACCAGGGAGTTGTACGACTCCTTGTTCTTGACCTGCCCGGTACGCGAACCCGTTGAATTTTTTTTACAACGCTTGCTAGGATACAAATAGTAAGATTACGGGTAGAAAGTAATTCACAAGAGAGAGATTGGAAGCTGTGTCGCAACTCTGAGTTTCTGAGAAAGTAATAAAAAGTTTCTGAGAAAGTAATTCTAATTTCCAGGCCAGGCCATCATCAGGAATAAAGCTCCAGTGCAAAGAACATTAGGAGTAGCGGCAACATCAACAATTCAACAACATAACATGATAGATGATCAATGCAATTATACACCTGCTGTGCTGGGAATTTTACATGCTGTAGAACGGCTAATTCTAGCGACTATTAATTTTAGCGTTTTCCCATTGTCATGTCAACTGGTTAGCGACATTTTATTTTAGCGATTTGCATTTTTCTTCATTGTACACATTTTGATACTGCATTCTAGGCACAGTGAGTTGGTCAAAGACCATGATTGAGATACGAGAGGTACCTGGTCAAAGTCCTGCCTGGGAGCATTTTTTCCAGCCATGCTGCTACCCACAGTCAACTGGGAACTTGTGGCCAGGCACAAGGGGTGCATGGATGCGGCTAATTGGGTTTCTCGGCACTTGTGCCAATGGTTGTGAGACTTATCCACTCACCCCCCACCGTTAGGCGCTGCATCTGCCGCTAGGGTTTACCGGGTGTTAGCGGCCGTCGTGAGTTCCCTTCGGGAATGGACACGATAATTTACTTTACTTAGTCTACTGCAGTAGTGTGGGTCGCCGAAGAACTGCGGGGTCAGCCTCCTAGCCTGGGCCGTTCTTATTTTCATGTATTACAGTCTATGCACAGTTGAGTCACCATGTATACATTGGTATGCTGGGCTTGGTGAAATTCTAGCCTGGTCGTTCTTGGGCGCTCCGTTCTTCGGCGCCCGACAGTACTGTGCTGTATGTACAAACCATCACTACCGTGTAGTACTATGAGTGCTAGTACGAGAGAACATCATAAAACATGTGTCTACAGTCCATTTCAAAACTATAGACGCGTACCTAGGCAAAAACCGTTATGCCAGCATCTATACCACATAAAATCTGTGATCACTTTGTGCATACATTTTTCCAAATTGGGCGTCTGTTATCGAATCGTTTAGAAACTATACGAGAGTAATTGTGGAGCGGACCTGAGCAATATTCCGAAAACTATTCTCAAAAAGCTCCAGCCAAATTTGAAATATTTCAAAAACCCTACGCGTCTATAGTTTTGAAATGGACTGTAGTACTGCATTGTACTCACGGATCACCAGTGCACTACTAATGTCTCGACGGATTGGCGACTTGAAACTTTAGCGAAAATGAGTCGATCGCTAAATTCGCTAGTGTTTTTTACGTCGCTAAAGTTACCCGTTCTACAGTAGAGGACAAGCAGCAAGCTACAGGTGGCATAGCCAGACTTGTGCTCGCTGCACAGGTTCTGAAAGCAGGTCAGCCCCTTGAGATTGAACATTTTAAGCTATATGCGTATTGAAACATGCCCACGGTTCTGGATTTTGTACACTGTAACAGTTACTCGTCATAACCATATCCGTGAATATTCTCCAACGCCCCCCCCCCCCCCCCCCCAACCCACGGATGAATGCAAATGCCAATCGCTAGTGGATAACTGGCTGGTACAGTGTATTGATCATTTAGGGTCGGAATGCATGGCATACAGCAGCTTACCTCCGCCAACAAGCGTCCATGCCCAGGACGTCCATGAATCATCCAAGTTCCCTGAACTCTGGCCAGGGTCGGCTGTAGATGAGGCGCCTTTAGAATCCGCTTTCGCAAGAGCCTCTTCATCGTTGGCACTAGATGTCATATTGTGTCCTGCCGTTGCGACGGCATTCAGTACAGCTAGCTTCTCCTTGTAAAGGTCGATGAAGTGCATAATGAAACGGTTGAACTTCGGCAGTTGCCAGTCATTGAAGCTCAGCTCACCGCGCTCTACCAAGACTTGGACGCTAGTGCCCAGCGGAAAGTGATCGATCTCAGCCGGGTCGTTGTTGATCAGCATGCGACACACAAACGAACACTTATAGAGTAGTGGTTCCTGATAGACATCGATGCTGCCGCTCTCTGTGCGGCCATCTAAACAGAGCGTCATATCGCGGACGTTCACCAGCTTTCTTAGCAGGCAGGCCATGGTGGACGCATCGACGAATTCCTTCTCCCAGTTAGCATTAGCAGGGCTAAAATCCACTTCAGGTACGCTCACACTAAGCACCATATCATCTTCTACGTACTTCAACACCAAATTGGTGACGTTCAGTGTGAAGTTATTCGTAATCTTGTTTATCAGACCTTGCACATATCCTGGGGGAGCACCAGCAGCGGATGCCGCTTCCTGCTGTGCTGCTTTGTCTCCAGCAGATGCAGCAGCGGTGTCAGCGTCACCGAACGAGGCCGACTGGCTGTTCGCAGAGTGTTTGTTCTCATTCCATTCCAGAACACACTCAATTGTGTCAATACTCACCACGACGGCTTCATAGCTAAGGGCCGTCCATGGTACGTGGATTTTCAGCTCGCGAATACGGCCACTTACGAACCGGATAGGAATTGGCACGAGCTCTTCCAAGACATTGAGCCGTAGCTCCAAATTGTTCAGCACTACATCTCCGCCCCAGATTGACAATTTCAAATCAGAAGGCTTGATATTCTTGACGTATTTCTGCAGATACGACGTCAACAATGGGGTGATGTAGCCCTCCAACATCGTGCAAGAGACACCAAAGCACAATAGTGCTACCTAACAGACTCAAAGGAAAAAAGAAGGGACATGGCTAGTCTGTACAGACCAAATAACTAAAACACCAGCTGTTCCACTATTCTCTACGATCGTACGAGAGTAATTGAAAGGCAAGCTGAAGGAGATTTTCGCTCTGAAAAATTGAATTTTCTGTGGGTAGATCGGGGCGCTTCTCTTGATCTTGGGAGCATCCATATCCGCTGTCCAGTGTCGACGTCATTTCCACACATCAATATGCATGGATCGTCATGACGCTGTGACGTGTCATGATCACCTGATCACGTCAGCTCCCGAGTACGAGTCCCGACCGCATCACTACATAATGATACACTACAAGTACAAGCCAGCAGCGGCCATGTGCAGTGTATCTCACTCCCTGGACCCTTTACCTGGTTCAGAAAAAGATGAGAGGCAGGGACTGGGCATGGGAGCCCTACACATAATTATTATGTGTAGGGATCCCTGATGAGAGGTGGTTTGGGGATGCACCACTCTGTAGCTGTAAAGTCTGTATCTAAATGTAGTACCGGGCAATGTAAACCTGTTCAGATTTCTCAAAACCTGGCCAAAAATTAATTTCCCTCATCTTTGAGACTTTGTCTGACTGGGAAGCATGGCCGTATGTAATGGAAACGTTTGCCAGAACACCGTGAAAAGTAATGGTTTCCATTAATTCTTCTCCCAAAGACAAGATATCCTGACAGGGCTGCTGAAAGAAAACAGTGAGTGAGGCGTGTGTGAACGAGTACAGTTTGCAGCAGGGAGTAGTACAATACGTATTGTATTACTCCCTGCTTCTCAGGACGACAATCACACAAGTACAACGGCTTGATATCACCATCGGATGCGGTAAAGTTCCGGACCGTTGGGAGTAAAACTGAGAAAGCGGGTACAAATCTAGAAGAGGGAACACGGCAATGCTAGACAACGACAGAGCTATTGCCATTCACTGGGCTAAGAAATCAATAAAATAACTTTGTAAAATAATGGAAATACGCCAACAATGATAACTAACAGCATATGTCAACTAAACACTCGTATAGATAACAAGGCGGATCAGCAATTCAGCCTACGGTAGCACAAACACGCACCGCCAGTTTTTGTAAGTACTAAAGCATTGTTCAGGGTGTGCAGACTCCAGTGCAGACAATTCATCTTTTTTTAAATACTTTTTAAAAGGCTAAGGCCAAAATACTGATAGATAAAAATTTCTTGAATTGCAGTTCAGAGGCTATCTTTCGAAGAGGTTAAAAGTTCTAAAAGAGAAACACTAATCCAGGATGTTAGATGAGACAAGGCTTGCCATGGGAGACTCGAATATGCGAGACTTAGACTAGCCATTGCCATTAAATTTTTGTGTTTTGTGCTTTCCGGTCTCATCAAGAATAAATTAGGTCATGCACACCGGTCATGACATCATCGACAGCGGTGTCGATCAACATAACATACTTGATTGGCATAGGTTGTTTGGTACAGGGCCCGGTCACAGATGATCACAGATCATCATTATCCTGGTAGTGATCAGCAGGTTGGTCACGTCCAGCCGAGGCACTGACCAAAGCGGTGGTGCTGGACACTGGGAAGACTCTTGGAGCTGCCATTCAACAATGCCAGCTCGGCCATTCCTTGGTCAGGTGTGCACGCCAGGCTCATAAGTACTTGAAGTAGCATAGAGAGTAGCAGCCATACAATCTCCAGAAGATGTAAGCAGCTAGCTACTAGCTAGAGAAATGGGGTCATCGTCATGTGACAAAGGTGAGATTGGTAACGTTCGGCACCACCAGCGGTGCACAGGAGCTCGGGTCGGTGACATTCGAAGTCGCCCAGTCCGGAAACGTGTCGAGGGTAAACACGGCGCGGGCTATCGTGTTGGCGGTGAAGAAAACGGTCAGAATGCCAAGGAGGTTCATCACACAGCCAGCCTTGACCTGAGTGATATACATGGGCCGAAAGAAGAGCACAAGCAGTTTTACATGCTTTATGTAGCACACATACAAGCAAAGATTCTATGTAGCTCTTCACCTCACTAAAAGCCATAAAACGGCCCATACGTCCTCTTCATCATTGCATCAGGATCATGAGCACAATTTTAATTTTTTTTGTAAAGACAGTCCTAAACATTTCCCTGCCTGGCTAGATGTGTGCAGACTACACACTAACTCACCATATCGGGAACTTTCAAGTGCCCGTAGGAGAATGCAATTGCATTGGGCGGTGTGGCGGCCGGCAACATGAATGCGAACGAGCAGCTGATCGTTGCCGGTATCATCAGCCACAGAGGATTCTTATGCAGGCCACTGGTAGTCTAGCAGATAGTACCGGTAAAAGACAAACACAGAAAACACAAGAGAATTTTAAAAGATACATCTTCAAATGCAACTGTGGAAGATGTGCATTCGGAATGAGCAGTGAGGAATCATATTACGATTCCTCACTACTCATTCCAAATGCACAGCTTCCACAGTGGACAATAGCCTTTAGGCCAAGTCATCCTGACCTTCAACTAAGACTAAATGTCCCACTTGGATTCCAATGCATTCTAGCCGCTTAAAAAAAGGAGCAACGACAACAGCACGTGAACAACTGCAGAGAAACTGAATACTGGTATGTGACGGCGGTACTGCACGGTCTGTAACGTACCAGCTGGGCCAGGATTGGTAGGAATATGGTGGCAGAGGCGACGTTCGATGCAACCTCCGTGAACAAGGTGATGAACAGGATGATGAGAAACTGCACCAAAGTGGGATTCAGCTCGCTCAAGTTGCTCAGCTTCAATCCAAACCAGCAGGAAAGCTTTGACTCCTAAAACAACAACGAAACAACAGAGAGTAAGCAACACACACAACAATGCACACAGCCTGGAATTTACTTCTTTGAAGTCAGATCAAATAAAAAATAAAATGAACAGTACCACACACTACCGCAGCACCATTCCTCTGTAAGCTGCTGCATTGTTGAATATCAGGTGGCAATTAAAAATCTGTGCAGAGTCAGCGCATATCAATTCCATATGTTGGAAGACAAACTGGGAAATTCCCTACCGTAATCACTACAGGGCCATCATACCTTGGAAGCCTCGGCCAGACAAAAGCCAGCGCCCAAGATAATGATGACGCTCCATGGCAGCTTGGTATGCACACTGTCCCAGTCCAAGATCCGCTTGATTGGCTTGCGGGATGACCGTTGCTCTGGAAACAACCAAAAGATCGTAGGATGTGCATGTATGTACAAGTAAGTGCAGCCATAGGCAGTATTGCACCAAACAGCTGTGCAATCTCCTGAATTGATGGGCAATTCACACTCACAGCCATCAAGAGCTCGTAAAGCAAACCTTGAAGCGAGAACTATGGAGCTCAATGAATCTATAGTAGTACTTGAAGTGATGTGCATCACTTACCTTTTGAAAGAGGCCATTCGGAAGGCAGAAAGAACAGGATAGATGAGAAGACAATGGCTACGGTGCTGTCTGACACATAGCTCCTGTAAGAAAGACAGATGATCGCAGGACAGACCAGCAGAAAGACACCGCCAAGAGAGGAAAAAATATGAACGGGCAGAATGACAATTACACACTCTCGTTTGTTTTAAAAAGCAAACGAGAGAATGCACCAGTACACGGGCCAGGAAACAAAATACTATAATTATCATACAACAATCGAGCAAGTGCTAATAAATAATAAATACTGTGTAGTCGAAAGGAAAGTTAGACATTCACTACAGCTACCCTTCCCACCTGCTAATACAGGAAAAGCCAAGATTCGAAAACATAAAAAAAAAAACAAAAAAAAACAAGCAAGCTTTAACAGCTAGCCCAGAAGCCACGCACAAACCAGTGAGGGGGTGCTTACTTGCCCGCATCTGTATCACGGAACAGGCTGCTCCAACCGGCATCGAAGCCAGGCAATCCAGGATGCCGGAACAGCCATGCCAACACGAGGAGAATAAAATCGACGAGGACCACACACTCCGCAAACCTGCCATCCAGCACAGGACACAAAGACAGTCATATGAAATAGTCATGGCACAAGCAGTAATAATTTACAAGGAAACAGTCACATACCAGATCATCAGAGATTTGGGGAGAAAACCAAGACCTCCAGCGCACCCATATTCCAACCTACTGTCAAGAAACGTTCTCGGAGAATGGGATTCCAAAAAGAAAAGAATCTACCGATAACGCATTCATTGGTTTGAGGGAAAGATGCAAACGGGAAAAGTCTGAAGAAAAAATTGACTATCACCACCAGCACCCACCCAACCAATAACGGATGTCACATAATGTGATCATACCATCATGAAAAGAAGTCTGATCGGTCTCAACCAGAGAGTACACGATGCTTTAAATGCGTCCCTTTGAGCCCACTCAACTAGATATGAATACATCATGTACATGTACAGCCACAGGGACTTACGTCAGTCGTCCTAGGCGCTGGTACCGTTGCCGTAACACTACCTGAACAGACTGGATCGCGTCGCTACCTGTCGCGCCGGTGTCACCGGCCTGCCGCTCATTCACCGTGTATTTACCAGATTTCTCAGTCAGCCGGCGGCGGAGAAAGCGGTATACGCGCAGCAGAGGGTTTCTACGCACGGGAAACAAAACATTGCAGAATTCAACACAAGTACTTCAGTAGATGGTATCAATGCGTCCAGTACCGGTACATGCTACGTGGCTCTGCTCACTGAAGCTGCACAGCGATAGCTACCGTAAGAACAACCTAAGACTTGTGAAATGCAGTGAAAAGGTATTACCTACAAGTGGTTACACGATGAACATGTACGGCATAGTGAGGGCTCTGAGCTTTCAAGCTCTCTCGTTCATAGAATTACTCAAGAAATTCCTGTCCTTTCTTTTCTAAATACGGCTTGTCCATTCGCCTTCATATCATTGGGCCTAGTTCCCGTTTATTGTGCGAAGTAAAATAAACCAACCAACAAACCAACCAGCATTGCATTTTGTCCCCATAATACTCGTACGGTGCTCCAGATGCTCTGTCTAGATTTACGCTACGGTACGCACTACATACTCATTTTACGGTACGGGATATGTACGGGATACAGCGCCAACCATGGCGCATGACGTGACAGGCCCTAGAGGCCCTACCAAAGGCCCTAAGGCCTAATTCATTTTTCAATCTTCTTTTTTTTCAACACATAACTTGGGTTCGAACCCGCACTATCGCCCTGCACTGCATGCATTCCCTCGATACACGCCGCATACATACACATTCTACCAAATTACAAATTGAAAGTACGGGACGGTACGGGACAAATACGAGATACCGCGCCAACCATGGTGCGTCACGTGAAAGGCCCTACCTCAGACACGACCAGATACCGAATTAAAGCGGTGTGGGCCCTGGCTAGCGCCAGACGCTACTAAAAGTAGCGTCTTTTGCATAGCTACGGGAATAAAAATGTCTATGCATGGGGGGGGGGGGGGGCTAGCTCCATGTCTCCGGCAGATACATATAAACTAAAACACACTGACGCAAACAGTGCCTACCTGGGTACACAACACAAGTACAAATCGACCCCCAGGAATTCCTGTAAAACGCATATACTCCATAGAAAATTGTACTACAGCACCTACTTGTACAGCAATTTAAACTAATAGTTAGGGGTCAAAGGGGTGTACCGGGTACCCGACCGTTAATATCAGGTACCGTTAGTACAAGGGTACCCGTTTGGATTTTGATGACCCAGTCAGTACGGAGCAACACTGCTGGGATCGTGTATTCCAGGTGGGAGTCAATCATTTACAACTCCACGCTGGATGTCTGCATTGTTGTTGCATTTTCGCACCTAGTAGATGTACTCCTGCGACTATAAGACACCAGTCGATTTGCGAAACACAATGTGATATCAAAATGCAAACCGAGAACAGATGAATTAAAATCTTGATTTATGTGAAAATTGCGCAAAAGATTAAACATGGCTGCTAAAGGGTACCCATTAACCCGCCCGTTACGAAAATTACCCGTTCGTTTAAAGGTATACCCGTTTGACCCCTACTAATAGTGCTGCGTTCCAGGAGGCCACCAAGTTGTGCGACTGAGAAAGTAATGACACTGCCTGCTTGCTTGTCCATAGAGGTGAGGGTGAGAGTGATGTCAATCATGATGTCATGCTGCCAACCTGACTTACAGTAGCGCATACCATAAGAGTGCGGGGAAACTCACCCCTGTCGGTCGAAAAGCAAGCTCAGCCAGAGCCAGCCGAAGAAGAGCAGCAAGGCCGCAGTGGGTAGGCCGACCAACATCCACTTGACAAAGCTGATGCCAGAAGAGGTGGGATACAGCCTGCGAGGCATACGTCAGAACATTGAATAACAATGACATCAGTCAATCATCCCCGCCGTCACCATAAAAACTTTAAAAAAAGAACAAGGCAACAGATCCACAGGCACATAGAAATACAGACTAGTGGACAAACACAAATGCCAGCCATGACATAACAAATGTGACTGCCTGCTGAGGAACAACAAAGAGAAATCCACTGGCCTCCCAATAAAATGTACGATGACAGTCTCCACAATGACGAACAACAGACGAATGCTAACGCTAAGGGTAGGTCTAGCGAAGTTCAGAAACACTACTGTCGAGGGAGAACACAGAGTCGAATGCACTCGGCTGGTAAACTTACGTACTAACTTGTCCGGCCATCACAAGATTGGGTCCGGTGCCAGTCAATGTGGCTATTCCACCAATACTGGCACTGTACGCTACGGCCAACATCATGCCCTTCTTGAAGCGCAGTGTGTCAGTACGCTTCTGTAAACAGCATACAGGCATAGCACACCCTTCGTCAGCAGGCAGAATAGAGGAAACTTAGTAGAGAACTTGAACTGGTGCAGAGTTGATACAGGTAGTGCGAATCCACGTGTGTGTAAAGCACTCAGGACCTCAGCAGCGGAGTGCCAAAGCACATTCCTGTACAACACTTATCTCAAGCACACAGGACCGTGCAAATTACATCCAGATGCAACAAACACAAGCAAGGGTGCACACTGAACACCTTATGATAGCACCAACATCTGGAAAATTCAGGGGTGTCGGAAGGTATTCAACACTGGTGCGGCTATGAAAGGGGGGGGGGGGGCTTCCAGCAGGAAATTTCGGAAAATTGGGCCCAAATAACCCATAGTTCATTGCTTCAAAAGCACAAGATAAAACTATTGTTGCGGCTTTGTCCGCACCTGCCGCACCTGTTCCGACGCCCCTGAGAATGTACTTGCTCTGGACTAACAGACACTCAGCATCTAGGCTTGGACTTGGAGTCGTGACTCAACTGCGACTTAACTGTGCTTTTTTTGTTTTCGTTTTGTTTGTTTTTTGTTCTTTTTTCCTTTTTCCCTCGTACTTTTTTCTTTTTTTCCCTTTCTTTTTGAGTATTTGCAGTCCTGTGTTTTCTGTGTTTTTCTCTCCTTCGTGGAGGCTTGCTTGTTGTTGGCTTTTGGCCGTTACTTTATCGCCATCATAATATTGGGCACCATTGCCCGTTTGGTCTGCGATACAAAATAAAATTTCAACAAGGCCAAACTAAAGAAGGTGTGTGGTTCGACTAACATGGACATTTTTTTTACGGGCGGGCGGGCGGATTTTTTTTTTTTAATATATTTTTTAGTACATGTAAATACACTGTATACGCGTATCGAGTAGACTCTACTACCAGCACAAGGCAGCAGTCGTACCACTCACTGCACTGCACTGCAGTACAACTACAAGTCAAGTCCAAAAGGAGCCGCCTGCGTCCGCAGACTCACGCCGCACAGCACGTAGACGTGGACGTGTTCAGTCCACGTACGTCAGTCACACGACAGCCCGCCGAAAAAAAGTTACGGTCGGGCTGAAATTGTACGGTCGGTCGGGTGAGTCGAACCACACACCTTCTTTAGTTTGGCCCAACAACTTTTAACAGCTAACTGCAGCCATGTAGTGTGTGTGTGTGTGTGTGTGTGTGTGTGTGTGTGTGTGTGTGTGTGTGTGTGTGTGTGTGTGTGTGTGTGTGTGTGTGTGTGTGTGTGTGTGTGTGTGTGTGTGTGTGTGTGTGTGTGTGTGTGTGTGTGTGTGTGTGTGTGTGTGTGTGTGTGTGTGTGTGTGTGTGTGTGTGTGTGTGTGTGTGTGTGTGTGTGTGTGTGTGTGTGTGTGTGTGTGTGTGTGTGTGTGTGTGTGTGTGTGTGTGTGTGTGTGTGTGTGTGTGTGTGTGTGTGTGTGTGTGTGTGTGTGTGTGTGTGTGTGTGTGTGTGTGTGTGTGTGTGTGTGTGTGTGTGTGTGTGTGTGTGTGTGTGTGTGTGTGTGTGTGTGTGTGTGTGTGTGTGTGTGTGTGTGTGTGTGTGTGTGTGTGTGTGTGTGTGTGTGTGTGTGTGTGTGTGTGTGTGTGTGTGTGTGTGTGTGTGTGTGTGTGTGTGTGTGTGTGTGTGTGTGTGTGTGTGTGTGTGTGTGTGTGTGTGTGTGTGTGTGTGTGTGTGTGTGTGTGTGTGTGTGTGTGTGTGTGTGTGTGTGTGTGTGTGTGTGTGTGTGTGTGTGTGTGTGTGTGTGTGTGTGTGTGTGTGTGTGTGTGTGTGTGTGTGTGTGTGTGTGTGTGTGTGTGTGTGTGTGTGTGTGTGTGTGTGTGTGTGTGTGTGTGTGTGTGTGTGTGTGTGTGTGTGTGTGTGTGTGTGTGTGTGTGTGTGTGTGTGTGCTGGCAGAAATATAGAGAATCCCATTTCGATTTCTGACCTGATTTTCTGCGGAGTCAGTGTGTGTAGCACCAGCAGTTTGGTTAGGTTCTCTTGACTGCTCAGTGCCACTGTCATCAGATGATTGCTCTGCCACACCACTATCCAGTACTGGAAAGGAGAAGCCAAAAGATGTACACCACCATGTGTCACACACACACACCTTTGACCTTTGACGCCCATCGCCGGAGGCGATGATAGCAATGCTACGGCAGAAGCCATAGCAACTTGTGCTGGGATTACACCATTCAACAGCTTGCAAGGCTGAAGAATTGACCGTCACTATTCAGCCGGGTCTACACCATACAGCTATACACACACACACACACACCCATACACACACACACACACACACACGCACGCACGCACATGCACGCACACACACCCCCTGAGCAATATTCCGAAGAAATTTCTCAAAAAAGCTCAAACCAAATTCGAATTATTCGAAAAAGTCTAGAGGTCTATACTTTTGAAACGCACTATAGTGTGCCACAGATGCACTTGCAAGGCACGCTAGAACACATGTGCTTACCTTCGAGCACAGCCTGTGCTATGGGCAGCATCATGGCACTACTGGCGGTGTTGCTGATCCACATCGACAGGAAGCCAGTCACTAGCATGAAGCTGAACAGCAGCCTGTGCAGAAAAGAACACCAGAAGCGAGCACGATAGTGAACCACAACCAAACACTGCAGATACAATCAGAGACAAGACAGGGAGCAATAATGGGCATTATTTGCACACAGCATGTTTACGGCGTCAGAAAAGAAACCACAAACACCAATGGCAAAACAGAATTATGTACTTGACCTGCTAAAGCAATTTGTAGAGGCTGTTTCGTAAGGTACTAGTACATGTACGCAGGAAGATAATCTATTTCCTGGCCCCTCCATTATTGGTCAAATGAAGACTTGAGAGTGGAGAGGACACCAATGGCATGCAGCACTCAGAACCGTTGGGACTTACATGCTTTTGGACGTGCCGAGCAGCATGAGCACAGCCAGGGCTATTCTCTCGTGCAGACTCCACCGCTCCACTGCCACGGCCATGATCAAACCACCCATGAACAACACATTCGCATCCTGAACACAAATTACCAAACACACACACACACACACACACACACACACACGCCATGGGCATAAGCAACATACAAGTGCACAACAACACACTACAACGTAGACCAAACCGCACAGAGAGGAACAAAGCGTCCCATCCGTTACAACGCCATATAAGGGGCCATCCGGCATTATCGATAATCTTCACGGAACTAGAAAAAGAAAAAGTAGTCATGACCACCCCCCCACCCAACACACACACACACACACCTGAATGCAAAAAAAGATTGACTTTAATACTTGGCTAACCCATCTAGAATTGATTGATGTTTCGGCTATCATTATTTTTCGAAATGAAATTCTCCTCGACCTACCCACGCACAAATGAAACTTTTTCCGTTTCGTGTAAGATCGATAATCAGATCGATAAGCAGTGTGCAGCCTTACAAATAGACAATAAATATGGCATTTGATGGAGGAGCTGCATGATGACGTGAAGACGTTGCAAGCTCAGCGCAGCCAGTCTTCAACGGGGAAAAAAATACCTAATAAGTGCAAAGATAATACGTGTAAAATAGACTGGGAGAAACCCATCTTTACAGGGTAGTTCTCTTATCTACCCTTCCCTTCGGGAACGGACACGATAATTTACTTTTTTCTCTCTTAGGCCACCCTTTCTTTTTTCGTTGTTTAACGTCCGCGCCCGCGTACCTTTTTGCCTCCGACCGGAAAAAACAACAAGAAAGTAGTAGTACCAATAATATGCGAAGTTGTAAATACATGATTGTGTAGTTTCACAGTGTGCCGATCATGACCTTAAACTTATAATCTTGCCTCCCGGGCATGCCTTTGTCTTGTGTTCTTTTTCTTTTTTTTGTTGGCTTTTAAATATCGTACGGTGTGTGTCCTAGTAAAAATCCAGATGTAATGAATTCATGACATGCTAACTCCATGCTATGTACCTGTTTTGTTGGATTCATCAGGCATGTGCTCCAATGTACCATCAAAGAGTGTTGTTCTATGCCTGCAAGTGCCGTTACACCCAGAAATATTGTATATAAACTGGAAACCCCAATCAAACATTTTGACCAGTAAAGCATGTGATATCACATGCTTTACTGGTCAAAATGTTTGATTGGGGTTTCCAGTTTTTGGAATGGGCTTTTGTTTTTTTTTCGCCCTCCCTCGTACCTTTTCGCGAAAAAAAGGACGTTAAACAATGAATTAACAAAGGGTGGCCTTAACCACCAAACTTGGTACGACCATTCAGTCACCACACGTAGTGTTGTGGACATGGAAATCCAGTCGATTGACCAGGGCCGACGCCCTCAGCGCATAAATGCATGTGCGTACCGCTTATCCACGGTTGCATGACCAGCGTCCTGGAGCCGCTAGACGTGCGACTGGATTTCCATGTCCACGACAGTAGAATCAGTAATCCAACTACACTACAGTCGTGCCAGGTGAAAATCCAAGCCCAAGAGCTGAGCCAGGGCATGCACAGCTTGTAAGGCAGAGAGATCTGGGAGGTGGATATCACAGGGTAGCACAGCACATACAGACCCCCAGACTACAATGACCCGCTACCTATGATGACCGGGTTTGTATCACCGGGTAGCCACCAGGGGCGTTGGGCACGCTATGGTCACTACGGTATTGACCGTACCACTCTTTGCCCCAAGTACCCTGTGAATCAATAAAATGCACTGATTTGGGCTCTGAATTTCCAAAATTTTCGGCTCAGCCACCCCTCCCTCACGCGCAAATTGTACTTCAGATGGCTGACCGTACCACACTACATTACCTTCCGATGCCCCTGGCCACAATACACATTTTTCAATGACTACGTGCAGGCTGAGTCCCAGCACAAAAATAACCAATGGGACCGTGGAAACAGCATGCATTAGTACTAATTGGGCACGATGCATTCTCCACTATGCATTGTACACTATCATACAGTACAGGTATGACAGGGACCACAGAATCATTCCCGGGGGTGCCATAAGTGACAATATCATCCCAGACTATCTACAGGACTCGTATTATCTGGAGACGCCCTCCATAAAGATGAAATAAATATTTACCTTGAGATAAGAAGCAGATGCTTGAGAGGCAGTTAGAACACCAAGCAGTGGAAACAGACATAGTGGCAGGAGTGCCACACCAGCTAGGGGTGCTGCCTCTGTCACCCAGAACAGAGCGACAAGCAGTATGACATAACCGGCCTTTGCTTCCTATGCACCACACCACACACACGCGCGTGCACACATACATACATACACACGCACGCGCGCGCACACACACACACACACACACACACACACACACAATAATTAACCAATAAATGTTCTGCCCCAAGCGTATCATCCCAGCAGGTTCTAGTAGTGTAGTACGTAGAGGACATGAACCACAGTGAGCACAACCGCATACAAGTTCGGGACAGGGGAATTCGTTGTTTCCGCCATGTTGATACGCCATGGAAACGGCGACTCGCAATCTCAGCCTTGCATCTCTGCATGGCTGGTGACATACCGTATTTCCCAGTAAGTTAGTTCTCCCCAATGACTTAGTACCTCCCTATAAAAAATACACTTTCCACTGCCGAGGTTATCACCCCGAAAGACAGTTCCCCCCCCCCCCCCCCCGAAAGATAGTAAGTTTGTACCCGTCCTACATGTACAAACACCGTACAGTACATACATCATATGCACGGACACTAGAGTTGTGCAGGCTTCCCACTGCGTGTCATTTACCCCCGATAAAAAAGTACTCCCCGAAAGATATTACCACCCCCGAAAGTTAGTACTCATGTGGCTGCTAAGTTCGAAAGTTAGTACGTACTAACTTACGGGGAAATACGGTAGGTCCCGCAGCCTTGCATCTGTACACGCATGCACCTTGTTATACCATACACTGCACAGTACTGTACTGCAGTATGGAACTACAAGCGCCGAACCCCCACCCCATCTGGTACGGTACACACTCACAGACGCAGAGCCTGACTGGACCGTACAGGAAGGGGGTGGTGCAGTACAGTGTTCGGTATGGCTAAAGGCATGTACATGTCTAGTGCTATTCAGCGGGCATGATGCTAGGGCATATTGCAAAATGCAGGGTATACCGCAGCATATATCCCATCGAGGACGCCTGCTGATGGGTCGAGAAGGGGATTTTGTACCGTATCATGCATGGGATAAGTAATACTATTGTAAAAAGTGTTGTTATTGCATGTACCTGTGAACCAATAGCCAGAGGTAGTAACAATAGAGGACCAGCAATGATGATGAATGCTTTCCAGTAGTGCTGGATTATTCTAGTGACCCTTCTTATCCCATGTTGATCCTGGTCCTGCACTGAAATCAAGCCCTCCTGGTCATCATCATCTTGCTCATGATATGAACGTGAGTTGAACTCCTCGCCAGTACTGTCAGACTGAGTGGCCACGAACGAAGTTGTCTCCATCACTGAACTCACCAGCACTGCTGAGAGGCAGCACGGTGCACCTGGTAGATCTACACTACATTGAAATAGCGCTAGTTACCACGATAGCTCATGCCCAACATTAACGTTTCGCATGTCCAGAACCATTGGAAATGAATTCAAAAATTAATTTTTGTAGATTTTATCAAACCAAACATGAGTCATGAATGACTCATGATGCATCGCGATATCGATGCACTGACATGATTATAGTCTACGGTATACCAGTATACCATTGCCATTATTTAGAAAAGCGATCCTGTCAGCTTTTCTATTATTGTGTTCACATGGCAGAAAAAACGACACCGCTATGCTACGTAACTTTCTACGTAAGGTGCTCGGTATTTCACATAGGCTACGTAAGTCTCTACGTAAGGTGCTCGGTATTAGATCTACCAACGCATGGTAGCCGTGTGCTGTGCACGTGCACGGCAGACATTGTGTTCAATTCAGTGCATGCAGTCCGCGGTTCCGTGTTCGGATGTGCATGCTCGAGGAACTTCAGGGCTCACAGCCGGTATGCCAAAACCTCGATTACGTGGGAGGACATATTGGATCTGATCACCATAGAAACGGGCACGCGTGACTGCTAAGCGCAGGCTAGGCGTAGCACTCACACTCACAGTCGCAAGGAGATTTTGACTTGCTTGGGCTGAGTTGCTGTGACAAGAAGTAGTAGTAGTAGTAGTAGTAGAATTTATTATTTTGATAGGGAAGGCCCTACAGACGTTGCCGTCTTGTTACAGGGAACCCTAAGTGCTCAACCTGACGACACGAGACAGGCAGAGAATTCCACCTATCAGCGCCAAGGAAAGAAATGGAGAACATGCCATATCTAGTGGTAGCAGCGGGCAAAGAAAGTGAAGAGAATGATTGCCCTCGAGTGCGCCTCTCGGTGCAAGTAGCAGCCGACTGGAGGGTGAACATTGAGGAAAGAAGAGGACTTGTAAGCTGATGAATACAGCGGAAAACAAAAATAAAAAGCCTCAAGTTGAGACGAGATTCGAGGGAGTATAACTTAGCGTGCCGCAAAACAAAGACAGTCGGGGTACGGCGAGGGAGACCAAAAACCTGTTTCATGCTGATATGACTTAAAGTAACAAGGCGAGAGTATAAAGATGGTGTAAGACAGTGAGCATACGAGTTGCTGGCATATTCAATAGTGGATTGGATGAGGGATAAATAAAATATTCGCTTAGTTGTGTGATCTACTGTACGGCGGCAGCGGCGGAATGCTCCTATCTTCTTATAAACAGATGTACACACATGGTTGACTTGATCCTCAAAGGTGAGGTGTTGGTCAATAATGAGGCCAAGATAACGCGCTGTGGCAGAAGGTCGAATATCGACACCACCGCATGCAATGGTAAGATCCGGCGGAAGAGGCAGAGCCTTCTTCCGAAGCACCATGAACTTCGTTTTCTGGGCATTCAAGATGAGACCAATGCTTCCAAGGTACGTATTTAGTCTGTTCAACTCACTTGTCAACTTGTGCTGAAGTTCTCCAGTAGACTGACAGTGTATATAAAAGGCGATATCGTCAGCATACTGTTGGGACTCTGCGTGGCGAAGTACTCCAGGGACATGTCGCACGTACAAAGAGAATAACAGAGGCCCTAGCACCGACCCTTGCGGAACGCCTCGTGTACAATGTGTCTCGTCTCCTCTGTTATTTCCAATTTTCACCTGTTGTCGTCGACCCTGGAGATAGCTGGAGAACCACTGTAGTGCTACTCCGCTTATGCCAATAGCTTGAAGCTCGTTAAGTAGTAGTTCATGGCGTACCCGATCGAAGGCCTTGCTCATGTCCACGAGTACAACCCCGCAATACTCGCCCTTGTCCACACTCATCATCCAGCGGTTTACTGCGAGAGTTAACGCATCCTCACAGGAGTGCCCTCTGCGGTAGGCGAATTGCTCGTCTGGGAGAATACGAAGCTCAGCGTGATCTTGAAGGAACCTAATCATTTGCCGATGTACTACCTTCTCAAGGATCTTAGAAACAATCGGCAAAAGTGAAACGGGGCGATAATTCGACGCTTCAGATTTGTCCCCTGACTTGTGGACAGGACACACTGTAGCCAATTTGTAGACGTCTGGCACCATTCCAGTACTCAAGGACTCGTTTATGATCTGCGCTATGGGACCTGCAGCGGCAGGCTCACAGAGGCGTAGGAGCAGAGGAGGAATGTCATCCGATCCAGCTGCCTTGGCACAGTTCAAATGCTTCAACAGGTCGCTTATCTCCAGAGCTGAAACGGCACGAAATTCTTTAAAAGATGGGGCGTCTGCGTCAGCTGTTGTCGAGATGTCATGTATTAGGTTGCTCAAGGGTGGGCAAGGATTAGGATCAGTGACGAACTGAGCCGTGGATGGTGAAGGAGACGGAGACAGTTCTCCATTTGTTTCGGTTGTTATTGTTTCCTTCCGAGTGGACTATTTCGCGAGCATTGTTGTTGGCCTCATCGGCCGAATTCTTCCTTCAGACTGTCCACACACGGAGTCCTGCGAGGAGTAGCCCCGAGCAGATTCCTGCATTCGTTGAACACGAAAGAGTTCAACATCTACTGCCCGGCAGCTACGCCGCTAATGCACAGGCGCGGGTGACGGGATCGGGAGAGGGAGAGGACATGCACTCCTTGATGTTGAAGGCATGGAGCAATGACTCACGTAGTGTTCTAGTTTTAGTTTCTCCGCCGTGAAGTCCTGTTGTGTCCAATGTAAATATACGCTGGTCCGCTGCGAAGAGCCGCGCAACGCACTAGTAGTGACGATGTGGAGTTGTGAATTATTTGATTCGCCACTCCGTTTCGTTGCAAGAGAACACGTCCAGTGGCTTCGCCGTTGTGCTGGCCATGTATTTCTTCAGTCGTCCATAACTCCTGAAGGGCACAGCGATGAAGCGCCAGGCGAGTAGCAAAACATTTCGAAAATTTGCCTTGCTGTAGTGTTGTTTCCGCATTCACAACCGGTCCAGCGCGCGCGGTTCTTCCTCGCACCTGTACTGCAGATAGCGTCGCCTTCGAAATATTCGTTTGTACCCGTCTCTTGCCCGATTTTGATGGCCAATAGCTTAAAATTTTCAGTAGGAAAATTAGAAGAATTTGTCCGAGAGACATTTCAATTTTAGGACAATAATTCATGTCAGAATTACGCCTGCACCAACTGATACTTTGGCCCCGTATGTACGCCAAACCGTATCGATTAAAACAAAAAACTCTCGGACAAATCCTTACAATGGGTATTGAGAGTATGTTCCTAGAGTTTGAAAGGCCTAGGAGAAAGCATCAGTACAAATTATAGCAATAAAAACTGCTTTATGGCAGTTTTCTAAAAAACGTTATTGTGTTCTAGTCCATGGACCCCGTCTAAAAAGTAAGAAATTAACGAAATGTGATTGCCGAAAATTAAAATTTCACACAAAACCTCACAATTATCACAACACTTGAAATGCTGTTTTCAACACTAAACTTGTACTGCACCAACAATTGGCAACATGCATGTCATGCATGCATAGGAAAGAGGATCACGAGGAGAAAAAGGTCTTCTACATGTAGCTTTTCATTCTGTGTGTGATTATTGTGAGGTTTTGTGTGAAATTTTAATTTTCGGCAATCACATTTCGTTAATTTCTTACTTTTTAGACGGGGTCCATGGACTAGAACACAATAACGTTTTTTAGAAAACTGCCATAAAGCAGTTTTTATTGCTATAATTTCTTTTGTTTTTTCTGTCACCAATCAATGGAATGCCCAATATGTCAATGATGGCCTTCACATCATATCAATACAGTATTATACGCATTGATGAGCAAGCCTTTTCTTGCAGAAAATGGCACTAGCATGTTCGTCTGCGGGGCCCGGGGGAAACATGTGAGTAGTGGTGGACCGTGGTGATTAGGCCTCGACCAAATATGCTTGCGCATATTTCCGCATATTTTGTGAGACAGTTCATATATGGCATATTGAGCGAGCATATGATTCAAATATTCTAAAGAAAATGAGGACAAAACATTCATGTTATGGACAAAATGCGTTCAGAAATGCCTTTTATGGATGAATTTGGAATGGTTGAGGCGTTTGCAACATTTCCCCAGGGATGAACACTATCGCTACGGTTGCTGGGGATACACTTCCATACGATTCTGCATGTGTTTTGATTTGCACCATAAGCATGATAGCCGTGAAGCCAATGAATTTTCCAAGGTTTTAATTTTACAGAAATGATCTACACTTTCTGCTTATGTCGAGCATATTTTTGCATATCTTTTTGCATATCTTGCTAAGCCTTTGGCATATCATGGCCGTTTTCCCTGATATGCGACGAACATAATATGCTCTTTTTTAAGCATATTTGGTCGAGGCCTAGTGGTGATACTTTTTTTATATGGAGGTCATTCTGTGCATGTTGCTGTAGCAGAATTTCATTACTCTGTCATAAAATTGGCTTGCCTTTCAGATATTTCAGATTTCCCCACCCTCGATCAGATTTATTTGAGAAATGTAACCAGGTGCGTGTCGCAGATGTTTTTGTTGATTCTGTGTTTATAATGGTTTATAATCATGGGTTATCGTGATAAGGTCATCGATATGCGACGAACATAATATGCTCTTTTTTAAGCATATTTGGTCGAGGCCTAGTGGTGATACTTTTTTTATATTATTATCATGGAGGTCATTCTGTGCATGTTGCTGTAGCAGAATTTCATTACTCTGTCATAAAATTGGCTTGCCTTTCAGATATTTCAGATTTCCCCACCCTCGATCAGATTTATTTGAGAAATGTAACCAGGTGCGTGTCACACATGTTTTTGTTGATTCTGTGTTTATAATGGTTTATAATCATGGGTTATCGTGATAAGGTCATCCTGCATCATATGGCACTGAAATCGTAATCCTGTTGATGTCGATACAACTTTTGGAAGTAGTTCAATGACGTTAAACTGTAAGTCCACGATTTTCTAAAACAACACAGCAAAGGAGGAACAATAAACATGTATTAAAATGTAAACAAATACATTGCTGAGTCTGACACCTCGTTCCAACAACTACACTGATCCTGAGGATAAAAGGGGCAAGGCTATGGTTGGAGGTACTGAGAGATAAACAAGGCACTCCATAATAA